TGGCCAACTCCTACTGACAAGATCTCCGCACACAGGACATGTGAGGGGAAGCTGTCACCGATGTGGAGAGATTGTGAGGGGAGGCTCCTGACCAGGGGATGTGATCTCTGGCTGAAGATCTGCTCCCCTGGCAAAAGGGACGAGGCTGAAGCACAGTGGGTGGTTCCAGGAGCCACCACCAGACCCGTTCTCCTGGCAGGCCTGGAGGTCCCGTGTGCCAGGGCTCCTGTGACAGCTCTGTTCCCAGGAGTACCAGGAGGTAGGAGTGCAGGGATGGACAGGTGGGAGATGCCTCCTGTCCAGGGACAGGGCTGGAGGGGTGGGAGCCTGTCCTGGGCACAGCAGGGCAATGAAGTTCTTCCTGGGTCTGACATGGGAGCATGGGGACACGTGGTGGGTGCTGGGAATGCTGATGGCCCTCGTTCCCTTCTGGTTCCCTGTCTCTCCTAGGAGGTGGTGGGAAAGGGAGAAGGCGGCCACCTGGAGCAGGGTCATTTGCCATGGAGGAGACTGACACCAGAAACCTCACTCTGAACATGACTTATGGATCTCTGGACATTGAGGAATTTATCAACGATACTTGTTCGATCATTTCGTACAAACTGATTGTCTTTGGGGGTGTCTGCCTGGGGTTTTCCCTCTGTGGGCTTGTGGGGAATGGGATGGTCGTGTGGTTCCTGGGCTTCCACATGAAGCAGAACCCTTTCACTGTCTACATCCTAAACTTGGCTGTTGCTGACTTCTCCCTCATTCTCCTGTATTTCCTCATTCTATTGGCCTTTTTGACCTTAAAAGCATTTTGTACTTCTTTGCTTCATTTTGCTCCTCTCTATGCAGATTTTGTATTTGTGGTTGGATTTCTGTGCCATGTGTTTGACCTGAGCAGCCTGGGGCTGCTGACAGCCCTGAGCGTGGAGCGCTGTGTGTCCGTCCTCTTCCCCATCTGGTACCGCTGCCGTCGCCCCAGGCACCTGTCGGGGATCGTGAGCGGGACACTCTGGGCCCTCGCTGGGGTTTTTGTCTCCTTGCTCTATGTCACCTACACTTTCAGTGAACACTCTAGGGAAGTGCTTCCAGGTGTAGTCCTGGCATTTTCCGTGATTTTGTCACTCTTGATGTTGGTTTCCAACCTGTTCCTGATCACCAAGCTCCGCTGTGGCTCCCAGAGAC